CAGGTATGAGAGAAGATTTGGCTAAAATAGACTGGGAAATTAGATTAAAAAATATGATGGTAGTCCAGCAATGGCAAACGTTTAAAGATATAATACATAATTCCTAGCGATCACATATTCCCTTGAAAAATAAAAATACCACGAGAAAATTGGTTCAACCTTGGCTAACGAGAGAAGTTAGGGAAAGTATAAAAATAAAAGAAGAGGCCTATAATACTGCCAAAAAGAGCAGTAAACCTGAGGATTGGGAGGGCTTTAGAGAACAGCAAAGGAAAACCAAGAAACTGATTAAGAGGGAGAAAATGAAATATGAGGGTAAACTAGCGAGGAACATAAAGACAGATTGTAAAGATTCTAGAGTTTTTACAAGTACATAAAGAGGAAGAGACTATCAAAAGTGAATGTGGGTCCATTGCAGGCAGAGACAGGAGAAATTATAACGGGAAAAAAGAAATGGCAGAGTCATTAAACAATGATTTAATTTCTGTCTTTACGTTAGAGGACACCGAAAACTTGCCGAAAATAGAGGGGAACCTGGAGGCTAATGTTAGTGAGGAACTTAAAGAAATGAACATCAGTAAACCAATAGTACTAGAGAAATTGATAGGATTAAAAAACGATAAATCCCCTGGAACTGAAGGCCTGCATCCAAGGGTTTTAAAAGAGGTGGCTGCAGAGATCGTGGATGCTTTGTTTTTGTTCTTCCAAAATTCCCTGGATTCTGGAACGGTTCCCATTTTTGGAAAGTTGCAAATGTAACGCCAATATTTAAGAAGGGTGGGAGACAAAAAATGGGGAACTATAGACCAATTAGTCTGACATCGGTGGTAAGGAAAATTCTAGAGTCTTTAATTAGGGACATCGTATTTCATCATAACCTGATTAGGCAGAGTCAACATGGCTTTATGAAAGGGAAATCATGTTTAACAAATCTTATAGAGTTTGTTGAGGACGTAACTAGCAGGTTAGATAGGGGGGAACCAGTAGATGTGGTGTATTTGGATTTCCAGAAGGCATTCAACAAGGTGCAACATAAAAGGCTGTTGCATAAGATTAGAGCCCATGGAATTAAAGGCAATGTCTTAGCATGGATTGGAGAGTGACTAACAGGAAGAAAACAGAGAGTAGGGATAAATGGTCCTTCTCAGATTGGCAGGATGTGACTTGTGGAGTGCCACGAGGATCAGTGCTCGGGCCAATTATTTACAGTCTATATCAATGATTTAGATGAGGAAATAGAACTTAACATATCTAAATTTGTGGACAATATGAAGATAGATGGGAAAGTAAGCTGTAAGGATGACACACAAAGAATGCAAAGGGAAATAGACAGGCTAGGTGAGTGGGCAAGAAGGTGGCAAATGAAGTATAACGTGGGGAAGTGTGAAGTTATTCACCTCGGTAGTAAAAATAGAAAAGCGGATTATTAGGTAGTGTTAGTGTTCAGGAGGGATTTGGGTGTCCTTGTACACCAGTCACAAAAAGTTATTATGCAGGTACAGCAAGCAACTAGGAAGGCTAATGCCACGTTGGCGTTCGTTTCAAAAGGGTTAGAGTACAAGAGTAGGGAAATCTTGCTGCAGTTGTATAAGGCCTTGGTGAGACCGCACCTGGAATATTGTGTGCAGTTTAGGTCTCCTTATTCAAGAAAGGACATACTTGCCTTAGAGGGGGTGCAGGGTAGATTCACTGGGTTGGTTCCTGGGATGAGGGGGTTCACCTATGTGGATAGGTTGAGTAAACTAGGCCTATATTCTCTAGACTATAGAAGAATTAGAGGTGATCTTTATAGAAACCTATAAGATTCTTAAGGGTCTTAACAGGGTAGATGCCGTGAGACTGTTTCCCCTGGTTGGAGAATCTAAAACTAGGGGTCATAGACTCAAGATTAATAATAATAATAATAATAATCCTTGCATTTGATATAGCGCTTTTCACGTCGGGAGGACGTCCCAAAGTGCTTCACAGAACACATTGTAAAGTGAATTGACTGTATATTTGTGGGCGAACGCGGCAGCCAATTGCGCACAGCAATGTCCCACAAACAGTCGTAGATTGAAAATGACCAATTTATTATTGTTTTGGGTTTTGGAGGGATTATTATTAGGCGTGTGGAGTAAGGAAACTTGCCCAAGGTTTCGCCCTGCCTGGAATTGAACTCAGGTCTCTCGCTTGCAAAGCGAGTGCTCTAACCACCGAGCTACAGGACTCTACAGGGTCAGCCTTTTCGAACTGAGTTGAGGAAACATTTCTTCACTCAGAGGGTAGTGAATTTGTGGAATTCTCTACCCCAGAAGGCTGTGGATGCTCAGTCCTTGAACATATTCAAGACTGAAGTACATAGATTTCCAAAGGATAAAGGGATTAAGGGTTATGGGAATAGGGCGGGTAAATGGAATTAAGTTAGAAAATCAGCCGTGATCTTATTAAATGGCGGGGCAGGCTTGAGGGGCCGAATGGCCTACTCCTGCTCCTACGTCTTATGGACTCCAATTTATCTCCACCAACGTTTTCTCTTCCAACCCCTGCACAGTCTTGTGTGGTGTTCCTCAGGGCTCTGTCCTCGGTCCCCTCCTCTTCAACCTCTACATACTCTCACTTGGTGACATCATCCGCAGACATGGGGTCAACTTCCGCATGTATGCAGATGACACACAACTCTATCTCTCTGACTTCACCCTATTTTCCAAAACAACTGACGTCCTGACAGATTGTCTGACAGACAGTCTGTGGATGAGAGCAAACTTTCTACAGCTGAATGTCAACAAGACCGAGGCCCTCCTGATTGGCTTGTGCCAGCGCCTCCGCATCGCAGGCACTGGCAGCATCAGCATTTACGGTGCACACTCCATCTCACCAAGCCAGTCAGGAACCTGGGCATCTTGTTCGACCCACAACTGTCCTTTCTCCCTCATATCCATGCCATGACCCGCTCTGCCTTCCCCCACTTCCACAACATTGCCCAACTCCGCCACTGCCTCACCCCTCAGGCTGCCGAAACCCTCATACACGCATTCGTCACCTCAAGCCTCGACTACGAGACTCCCTCCTTGTCGGCCTCCCCAACTCTTCACTCCACCATCTGCAGGTCATCCAGAACTCTGCAGCTTGTGTCCTCTCCCACACCAGGCTCCGCGATCCCATCACCCCCACCCTCGCCTGGTTCCACTGGCTCCCCATCCCTCAGAGGATAGACTACTAAATCCTCGTTCTCAACTTCAAGGCCCTACATGACTTTGTCTCCTCCTACATCTCTGACCTGCTAACCCCCTATCAACCTGTCTGCTCCCTCTGCTCAGCAGGCTCTGGCCTGCTCCATGTCTCCCGCCGGACCCGTCCTAACATCGGTGGCCGGGCTTTCAGCCTCTTTGACCCCACCATTTAGAATTCCATCCCAAAATCCCTTTGCCTTGCTGCCCCCTTCAAAGCAAGACTCAAGACCCTTCTTTTCGACTTTGCCTTCAGCCGCTCTCCTACCTCTCTCCCCTCCCTCAACCCAATCCTACCCTCCCTCACTCAGGTCTTGATCCCTGCCTGTTTAGTGCCTTGGGACATCCTCCTGATGTGAATGGCGCTTTACAAATGTAATTTTGTTGTTGTTGTTGTAAATGGAAGTTGTTGTTGAAAGTCACATACACACACGCTGCCATAACTGATGCAACAGAACCAAAAATAAATACAAATAAAATAATATATTGATACAATATAATCAATCCACATTATATATGGTTGACTAGAAAATATAGTCACTACACTTTATAGTATATCCTTTGAAGTACTTTAAGACATCCTCCTGATAAAAAGCACTGCATCAAATGTAAGGATTATTATTAATAATAAAAAATAATTTTCTTATTTTCAGTTGCTGTAATGATCCCAGTTGCTATGGTCCTTTAGGTATACTCATCAGTATGGCTGTAACAAGTCGTGATTTTTTTGGTCCAAAAGTTCTGGCCACAGTTTGTTAAAATTGTGGTTTTGGTGCGGTCAGTTCATGCTCAAGTACCAACAGTTAATACTCACTCCCATTGGCTCAACCATCTGTCCATCAAATCAGCTCACTCTCTCATTGGATCAGCCTACCGATAGTTGTCATTTGATCATCCTACCGCCAGGTAGATGGACAAATGAGAGTGCAGAATGGATTGATGGACAGGTGGGTGGTCGAATGGGGGAGCACATTCATTGCTGTCATTTTAAAGTTGCAGCAAACATAAAAAGTTGGTGTGCATTAAAAAATGCAATTTCTGCAACAAATTGTGCCCTCGATTTTCTTACAGCCTTACTCATCAGTCTATGTTTAAAAACTAACAAAAGCACTGTGGACCAGAAGACTTTGCGAACAAAGATGGGCATCCTGTTGTTAGCACTGTCTGTGGTGTACACATCAAAACTCGCCTAAGTCGTACATCTGGCCAAGCCCCGTTCAAGAGTTTATATTGTATGCAGGTTTAACATAACTCATACTTTGCATAAGTCATATTAAATGTATGGTCCCAACTGATACGACTAATGTGAGATTTACTGTATTGTGGAGGGAGCAGGGACTGTGTACAAACACAGAGACTGTCTACATAAGAGAGCTCTGTCTCTCTAATCTCCTTTTGACTCTGTCAGAACGTTGGACTTCTTCTCATATTTACAAATAAAAGTGGGAGATCATTGTTTATTCAATCAAAGTATAAAAAAATGTAAAATATCTCAGATTCAGCACTGTATGTTATACACAGGAGAAAGAATATTCAATCTAATGACCAGCGTATCATAGCTATCAACTTATTGATTTGAATATTTTCAAATTAAACATTATAATAATATTTCAGTCATGTGTAAAAACCTTATCATTAGAAAGAGGTAACCAAGTTCAGCATGATGCAACGATATATTACAACACACTGTAAACCTTTTTTAACACTGCATTTTGACATCTTTTAGGTATTAGAAATAAAAAACATAAATATTTGGAAAGTCTTTAAAATGATTAAGATTGGAACCCATACCGTCTGTAGTCTGACTGATGGAGGTCCGCCCATATTCTGCCTGATTGGATTGAAAACTCCTGCAAAAAGTAAAGACCACAGAGAAGTCAATCATATAATCCATGTAAAAACAAAAACAAATGATGCTTTCCTGTAATATTTTACTGAACAGAATTTTGAAAAGCAGCATCTACATCCAAATTTGGTAGAAGGCAGAATACAACAACAACAACTTGGATTTATATAGCGCCTCCCACCCGGACGGCATCTCAGAACACTTCACAGTAACGGATCCCGGAGCCGAGCCGGGGGAGGGGGAGGAAGGTGACCAAAGGCGCGGTCGAAAAGAATAGTGACAAATACTTTAAGCTCTGTACATCTTTGTAACATTCAACACATTACAAAAGAGTTTTCTATTCAGAAACTTTGATATAGATTCAACAGATAAGATTCAACAATAAGCCTTGTCGGAGTTGATAAATCCAATTTTTTGATGATTGGTTCATAGTCAGCTTGGCACAATCTGAGGCTGTTGTAGCTATATAGGCAGATGGATTAACACCACTTTCTGCTATTAAGAATAATAATAATAATCCTTGGATTTGATATAGTGCTTTATCACGTCATCAAGATGTCCCAAAGTACATCACAGGATATACTGTAAAGTGAATTGACTGTATTTTGTGAGCAAAATGCAGCAGCCAGTTTTGCACAGCAATATCCCACTAACAGCTTAAAGTCCTTTGGCATTTTTGAATTGTACAGTGCTGGAAAGCGGTTTTAACTTTCATCGAAGAAAACACAAAATGCTGAAAATTGTGGAATCTGTGGAAAACGTAATTGTTTTTCTACACTTTTCTGAGCAGTGTCCGTCCTTCTTACCTAGAAACTTCTTACATTTGTGAATAGCTTTTAAACAAAAAATGTTTAGAACTTTAAAAAAAAACATTTAGTATACATCTAATACGTCTAATTCACCTTATCACAACTGGGAAGAAGACTGAGCTGGTTCCTGCTCAGCTTTAAGCTGTAATTATTACACAATAGGAGTGTTCTAAAGTTTGATTTTGCTTATTCCAAATTGATTGTGCCATTTAATATATGTAGTAGGAAATGTCAATACTGGTATTAATATGGGGAGAAGGCACAATAGAACAGAATTCTTGATGGTGACATTTGAACTTTGTGGAGTCCTGTAGCTCAGTGGTTAGAGCACTCGCCCGGCAAGCGAGACACCTGGGTTCAATTCCAGGCAGGGCAAAACCTTGGGCAAGTTTCCTTACTCCACACACCTGATAATAATCCCTCCAAAACAAAACAAAAATAAATTGGTCATTTTCAATCCACGACTGTTTGTGGGACACTGCTGTGCGCAATTGGCTGCTGCGTTTCGCCCACAAATATACAGTCAATTCACTTTACAACATATTCTGTGAAGCGCTTTGAGACGTCTAGAAGACATGAAAAGTGCTATATCAAATGCAAGGATTATTATTATTATTATCTCTTTTTCAATGCACCTAATCATAAAACTGAAAATATAGCAATTGATGTCTTCAATATACTGAACTTTGGTTGAGGTATAATACAAATGGGTAATGCACAAGTGGAAACAAAGAACACTGCATAATTCAAGTGAGAAAGAGAGAGAGAGGGAACTATCTGAGCCTCAGCATGCCCAAGAGATGCAAAGTATTGCAAATGGGGAAACATTCAAGTCAAGTTGAATTGCTCTTAATAATAGGCCCACCTGAAGTATTTTCTCAGTCAGTATAATAAAACATTGTAATTCGGATTTTACAACAAATTATACAGAGATAATCAATTTCATTTTCAATAAAGGCCTTCAGACCCTGTGTCTACCTATCAATTAAATGAAGAGAGGTAAGTAGATAAGTAGATTCTCTTGGGACTGTTAGCTCCAAAGTGACATGGAAGATTGGAATTGAGTAGATATGATGGACTTTCTGGTTCTGAGTCAAGTCCACAGTACACCAGGCACTGCTGATGAGGGGCACCCAACTTGGTTCAATAGCAGAATTTGAAGCAACAGACCAGTCACTGAGGATTAGGATTCATTCTTTGGAAGCTCAACTGATGGATGATCCCTAACTAGAAAAGCATGCGGTTGGTTGCCATAGTAATCTGCAAAGTTTCGGCTGGCTAAATTTTGGGGTTACCAAAATTAGGCTCTTGGCAACCCGTGCCAAACCTATGGATTAAGAAGAGTACAACCTCTGGGGAGGGAGCTCACACTCCATATCAGACAAAGGAAATCATATGTGCGTGGAACTCTCAGTAGTTAGATTTGGAGACTGTCAAGTGTGCTGATGGATTTGCTTATGTCACACACCCAGCTGACAAAAACATTTAATAATAATCTTTGCATTTGATATAGTGCCTTATCACGTCATTGAGACATCTCAAAGAGCTTCACAGAATATATATTGTAAAGTGTATTTTGTGGGTGAAACACAGCTGTTGCGCACAGCATTGACCCATAAACAGTCTTGGATTGAGTGACCAAATTTTTATTGGGTGGTGGTGGGGTTTTATTACCTCCGGAAAGCAATCTGCCAATCGATAACAACTGAGTCCCTACTTACTGGTGGGTAAACAGATGCATGTAAGGATCTTGCCTAAGATTTTGCCCCGTCCAGGAATTGAATGCAGACCCACTCGCTTGTGAACCGAGAACTAACCACTGTAATAATAATAATAATAATCCTTGCATTTGATATAGCGCTTTTCACGTCGGGAGGACGTCCCAAAGCGCTTCACAGAACACACTGTAAAGTGAATTGACTGTATATTTGTGGTGGAACGCGGCAGCCAATTGCACACAGCAATGTCCCACAAACAGTCGTAGATTGAAAATGACCAATTTATTATTTTTTTTGATTTTGAAGGGATTATTATTAAGCGTGTGGAGTAAGGAAACTTGCCCAAGGTTTCGCCCTGCCTGGAATTGAACTCAGGTCTCTCGCTTGCAAAGCGAGAGCTCTAACCACTGAGCTACAGGACTCCACATTATGCTATGGGACTTTATGTTATAGCTTTGTGGGCACAAACTAACCAAGCCTGTTATTTTCTCCTTTGCAGTTTGGATTTTTATCTCCTACTCTCATGACTGCAATTTGGACATTCAGATGCATTGAAAATGGGGCGCATCATGTCACAATAGGAAGAGACAGTTTTGTTCTACAGGACTCTGCAAATTAATCTGATAATGTATACATTGAGATCTTACTTAAGAGAGGCAAAATATAAAGATTATTTTATTGCATCAACAGCTACTTTTAGTGTTTACCGTAGGCTCGATGTTTTTTGGTCATACTGCGAATATCAAGAAAATATTTCTGCTATATTCGTGAGTCAAGAGTCAGTATCCAGAAAGGATACAAAACCATTCTCCTTAACACCTAGCCAGACAGTCCCACTGGACATTATCAAAGCAGGTCTTTTCCAGTAGAGCGTAGTGGTTTCCACAAAGTGCTATTTCTAACAGAAAAAAATGCACTTCTCAAGGAGAAACTATTCTCCTTACAACAACAACAGCAAATTACTTTTGTAAAGCGCCTTTCATGTTGGGAGGACTACCCAAGGTCTTGGACAGACAGAGTTACAGATCCGAGCTGGGCGTAGGGGTGGGGGAGGGCGGCGGGGGAAGCAGGGAGATCGAAAGCACGGTCTAGAGGAGGGTCTGGAGATGGTCTTGAAGGTGGCAAGGGAGACGGAGAGACTGCGGAATGGAGTTCCAGAGGGTGGGGGCAGAGTGGCGGAAGGTCCACCCGCCAATAGTGGGGCGAGCAAGGCGGGGAAGGTGAAGCAAGCCGGAGCCCGCTGAGCAGAGGGAGCGAACAGGATGGTAGGGGGGAGCGAGACAGTGGAGGGCTTTGAAGGTGAGGACCAGGATCTTGAACTGTATTCCCTGTGTGATGGGAAGCCAGTGGAGTTGGGCAAGGATGGGGGTGATAGGGTCGCGGAGCCTAGTGTGGGAGAGGACACGGGCTGCAGAGTTCTGGATGATCTGCAGCCTGTGGAGGGAGGAGTTGGGGAGGCCAACAAACAGTGAGTTTGCATAATCGAGCCTTGATGTAATGAATGCGTGTATGAGGGTTTCGGTGGCCTGCGGTGGGAGGCAGTGGCAGAGCCGGGCGACGTTGCAGAAGTGGGGGAAGGCAGAGCGGGTCATGGCGCAGATGTGGGGTAGAAAGGATAGTTGAGGGTCAAACAAGACCCCAAGGTTCCGGACTGGCTTAGCAAGGTGGAGTAGGCAACCATGGATGGTGATGCTGTCAGCACCTGAGGTGAGGAGGTGCTGACAGGAGCCAATCAGGACAACCTCAGTCTTGTTGATGTTCAACTGAAAAAAGTTAGCTCTCATTCAGGACTTGATGTCTGACAGACATTCTGTGGAAGTTGACCCCAAGGGAGCATGTAGATATTGAAGAGGAGGGGACCAAGGACAAAGCGACGGTCCGGGGCTAGAGGAGAGATTGTTTGCTGGCGAGATGAAGTGCTGGCGGTGTGAGAGGTACGATCTGAACAAGTCAAGGACAGCGCCGTGGAGGTTGAGGTGAGAGGAGAGGCGGTGGATGCGGATATAGTTGGTGGTGTCGAAAGCAGCAGGGGGTTCAAGGAAGACGAGGAGGCAGAGGAAGCCCTGGTCGCAGATGGACATAATGGCGTTTGGCACTTCGACCTTTCACTTTAAGAATGGCTTATCAAAGAAAATTGTTCTGCATATACAAAAGATCATGGTAGCATGCTGCAAAGGAACAAAACTCTGCTTCTTCCTATTGTCACATGATGTCAGCCCACTTCCAATAGATTTGAATGTCCAAACTGCAGTGATGAGAGTTGGAGATAAAAATCCAAACTGCAAAGAGGAAGATTACAGGCATGGTTTAAACTATCACTGGCTTAGCTTGTGCCCACAAAGCTATGGCACAATCTCGGGGTTAAGATGGAAGTTTTGAAATATTCTGCGGTGAATGATGTAATCTGGCTCCCTTTATTGTACTGCAGCTTTGTAAAACACATTTAAGTTTTACAGCTACTCATCTTAGCAAAAAAAAATTATTTAGGATACTATCATAATATCAAATGCTGATCTGAAAATAAACCATCTTCATCGAGATAGACACACTTCATCTGCCACTAGTGACTCAGAAAGGGGGAAATGAATAAGCAGAAGCAATATGGCAAATGTCTTCAATGTATTTTCAAAAGTTCTCTTTTATATTCCAGCATTTATAGAACAAGTGGGTTAAAAAATATCAATGCTGTGGATCCAAATATTAAACTGCGAGTTCCATATAGGAGGAACCCATAAGCTTCTGATGCAAGGCAAAAGTGTGCTAGAATCTACCCTGTTATTGGATTAGGAATAATTAATTAAACTAGCCTACAAGCAATTAGCAATAATAAAATACCAATGTCTGGTAAAATGAAATAAATTAGTAACCAAAAATGCTCATTTTTTTTAAACAGAATCAACAATTGCTTGATCTTCTCAAATAATATTCTGTAAAATGCAGTTTACCTGCCATAAGAACATATATGAATATAAGAATTTGCTAGGCGAAAGAAGACCAAGTCCATCTAGTTCGTCTTCCACCATTCTGGCAGTCATTTGACATGTCATGTCCCAAACTATATACTATATCCTGAGATATTATCTTTTATTAATTTCACTGCACCTTTTATCCATTAACCTTTCACAAAGTATTTTTCAAATGCAATGGCTAATTGTAAATGTAAGAAGCAGCACATGCACCAACAGCTGCTTCAGAACACACTGTCAATCGCAGAACATAAAGTGTTAAGATTCAAGATCTGATAAACTGCTGAAACAGACTCGATGGGCTCCACCCCTTCCTGGTTTCCTATATTCCTTTGAATTTTTATCTTCTACTATGAATAATTTGTAGTATTCTCACTACAGGTAATTCAGACATTTTATTTACGACGCAAATAAATTACTTTTACTGTCTCTTGCCCATAGAGTCTCTCATTTGGTGTGTTGCTGAACTCATTTAAAAAATAGCTTGAAGTGTAACTGGGAGGTCAGCTGGGTTGGTATTCTGGTAGGACAAGAGGCTGAGGGGGCCTTCTTAATCCGATCCTCTCATCATCTGGTGATTTCTTGACAAAAAAAATCAAATGATTGGTATACACAAGTTGTGCTAATGAGTTGAGAACAGTCAATTATTAAGGCCATCTGTTCTGCTGGGTTTAGGGAAATTTCTGGGGAGAGGATTAAATAAAATCAAAATAAGATTCCATTTCTTGTTGGGGAGCAAATAATCTTTCATAATAGCACATTACAATCTTGTAGCCAGTTCAAAAATAGCATAGCAACAGAAATCATTACTACTTCCTTGCCAGTGCCATAAAGTATTAGGAGGCAGGGGGTCAGTACCCTCACCCTATCTAAGGTGTCGTCAAGAATATCAGAGCCGTTTAGCCACGTGATTCTCTATTACAAGGGGTGGGAGGGAACTGCAGGACAGCCAACCCTAATGTGCTGTTGTACCTCCCAGAAGCCAATTTCTGAGCAGTATTGAAATAGAGCTGGAGAAGCCCATCTTAGCCATGGATGATGTCTGCAAAATTGCCTATCTTCTGTCGTTACTGTAGCTCAGTGGTTAGAGCACTCGCCTGACAAGCGAGAGTACTGGGTTTGATTCCCAGCAGAGCGAAACCTTGGGCAAGTTTCCTTACTCCACAAGCCTGATAATAATCCCTCAAGAAAAAATACAAGAATAAAATTAGTCACTTCAATCCACGACTGTTTATGGGACACTGCTGTGCGCAAATGGCTGCTGCATTTTGCCCACAAAATATACAATCAATTCATTTTACAGTATATTCTGTGAAGCGCTTTGAGACGTCTAGATTCTCATTCTCACAATCAAATCCCGCCAGAGCCTCACCTCACCCTACTGTAGGATATCCCTTTAACAATTAAAGAACAATTAAGAAAGAGCCAATGAGATAAAGACAGGAAGTACAAACTGGGAAGAGAACAAATTGGTGTAATTATAGTTAGCGGTTTTGAGTGCTTTGAGTTGATGATAAAGAAATTTACTAACATACGTGTACTTTGGATTGCATATAATTACACCTACCTCTGTGACCCCCTGCAACCCTATTGAACCAGCTGCTCCCTTCGTTCAGTGTATATTGGCCTGCTTCATGTCCTCCTCCATTGGTGAGCGAGCTTTCAGCCATTCTGCCCCCACTCTCTAACACTTCATCTCAGATCCCTCTGACTCGCCCCATCCCTCCCTACTTTTAAAACCCATCTCAAGACTTGGATCTTTTACTGTACTTTGGTCAGATTTCCCCCCCCAGGTGCTCAGCCACTTGTGTAAAGCTCTTTGGAACCATTGTGGAGTCCTGTAGCTCAGTGGTTAGAGCACTCGCTTTGCAAGTGAGAGACCTGAGTTCAATTCCAGGCAGAGCGAAACCTTGGGCAAGTTTCCTTACTCCACACGCCTAATAATAATAATCCCTCCAAAACCCAAAACAATAATAAATTGGTCATTTTCAATCTACGACTGTTTGTGGGACATTGCTGTGCGCAATTGGCTGCCGGGTTCGCCCACAAATATACAGTCCATTCACTTTACAGTGTGTTCTGTGAAGCGCTTTGGGACGTCCTCCCAACGTGAAAAGCACTATTATCCAACAGGAAAGATGCTATGTAAACTGTAAATTTGACGTAAAAATTGAGAAGGGATGAAAACATGTGTCTGACCAAACTGAAAACAAGAATAAAATGAATTTTGGCAGTCTTGAATATGAATTCAGGCTCAAAATTACTGATCAGAGAGGTCACATATTGCACTTAGGACCTTTATCGGTAAAGAAAATTACAATTTTTATACCATCGAATCACAAAACACCTCAAAAGCACCTCACACGTAATTTCTATCATTTGTAGTTTTTGTAGTGACTTTAAAGTAAACGTGGCAGCCATTTGCATCAGCAAGGTCCCAGCCAATTAATCTGCAGGATTGTTGGCTGTGATACTGGAAGGGGGGAAGAAGCTATTTTCTTTTTCAAATAATGTATTGGGACATTTAGTATCCATCTGATAAAAGGTAGCAGGACCTTAAAGACTCATTTAAAAGTTAGCCTGATAATACAGCATTCTCCCACTGGCATTGAAGATCAGCCTCTACACCATGACTTCTTGAGAGAAAGAGCGGACAGACAGACAGAAATGTTATTTTCTTGCTTTGATTTTAAAGGTTGAAAATTCCTCATTGTTGATAACGTTTACCCGTTTCCTGCTTTCTCTATTCCATACAACATTCACAATTGACATTCTTCACAACTGATAGGGTGGAAAGGATGGTAGGTGTGGGAAACTTGTCACACTGGTAGTCTTATTGAGCTATTTACTTGTAGGTTGAGTCCAGTTGTGTTTAGGATAGATAGAAATCAAACAGTATTCTGGTGTGAATGAAGGATGAGTACCAGATGTGTCAGTTAAGAATGATGGATGCATAACTAGCAAATTAAGTTCACAGACTTTATATTATTAGATGATTGCTTATAAAGTGAAATTTTGACTTGAGTAAAGATGTATAAACTTGGGGCTTTGTTCCAAACCATTCCAAACATAACTAACTCCGATGTTAGAACATAACTTGAAGAGTAAAGCAGTGCAACTTCTAGCTTAGGGTTCATTCATGTTATCGCCATTGCAATCTGAAAGATTTTAGGTGTCTTATCAAGTCATCATTATATTCATATAATAGCAGTTTATCATACTGACAGAGGTTAGTAATATCCTGGGCCAATAGAAAAGTGTGCCGTCAACCCCCCACCTCTACCAACAATCTCATTCACTACAACCCCGTTAAAACAAAATGCAGTTTCTGATCCACTGGCCTCTCGCTGTTTACTCAATGGAACTGAGGGCGGAGCGTGTGTGTTTATGAGTATCCCTGTGTGAACGTGTTTCTCTCCTCCTTTGTCTGTGTATATATCTCTTTGTGTCTATGTTTGTGTGTGTCTCTCTGTGTCTGTGTGCAGTGCTGGGGGGAACAACAGTGAGGCTACAGGAATTCACGACAGGCAGGAGGTAGTGAGCTCCTATAGCCCCACTGATGTCCCCCCACCCTCCCCCCAAAAATGGGCCATTCATTTTTTATTAAAGAAGCAAATCATATTTATTTTTGCAACAATCTAATATGTGTTATTTCCTCGTGTTTAGTTTTTAATCAATCAAGTAAAAAAATGTAGGTTGGCAGTAAAATGTACCTCAATACACCAATCAACTCCCCGCAATTTTCTGCAAAATTTTCAAATCTCCCTGCAATTATAGCAAATATTTCTGCATTTTTCTGCTGGCCGAGGTAATATATCACATCAAGTTCTAGAACGCATTGTTGCCAACCAACTTCGCACACGCCTATCCTCCCACTCCCTCTTTGAACCTCTCCAGTCTAGTTTCCGCCCACAGTACAGAGACTGCGCTTGTGGAAGTCACAAACGACATCCTCTCAATCTGTGACCAGGGCTCCCTCTGCCTCCTTGTCCTCCTGGACCTCACCACCACGTTCGACACAGTCGATCACGCCTTCCTCCTCCACCACCTTTCCTCCGTCATCCACCTCAGTGGGACTGCACTCACCCGGTTCGAATCCTACCTCACAAACCGCCAGCAGTACATCTGCACAAATGGCTTCTCCTCCCGCTCTCACCAGGTCACCTGCGGGGTCCCCCAAGGATCCATCCTTGGCCCCCTCCTCTTTCTGATCTATATGCTCCCTCTTGGGGATGTCATCCGCAGACATGGGGTACATTTCCACATGTATGCAGATGACACCCAACTCTATTTTTCCACCTCTTTGCGACCCCCAGACCCCTAATGTTCTGTCAGCCTGCTTTCTTCCACCTCCGACATATCGCCCGTCTCCACCAATACCTCTTCGCAAAAGCCGCTGAAGGGCACTATATAAATCTATATAAATCCAAGTTGTTGTTGTTGTTGTTGTTATATTCAGTGCTAAATGAAGAGCCGAAACAGCACAATGCAACACCATTCTAAGTGATGTCATTACACAAAGTGTAATCTAAGTTCTTCTTTTTGTTGGTTTTCAAAAGCCAATAGTGGAAGTCATCACTGTGTTACCTCTATAACTGTTAGAGGCATAAGTTAGGTCAATGGTGACCTTAAAACATGCTAGGAATTTGACTACTGTTTACATGTACAATACAATTTGCATTTATATAACAGATTACATGGTGGGAGGACTTCTCAAATCTCTTTACCTGAGCTGGGTGGAATGGTGGTGGTGGGGGGGGGGGCGAGATGACCAAAAGGCAGGCAAGTACTTTCAATTGTGTTTTTGTTTCACACAAAAAAATTCTCCAGTACTAGGGCACATTAAAAGATAAGAAAAAAAATGAGATTTCCTACAAAGTTAAATAAAAGCAGAAATGCTGGAAGTGGACTAATTAGTATGTGAGAGAGAAAAGTAGCTTGATATTTTGTGTGGTAACCCTTCAATGGTAAGTTCATGAGCTTTGGTGTGGAAAGTTTGCTTTGGTACTCAAATATTTAAGCAGATTGCACAAATTTCTAGTTGTATTTCTACGAGTGGGAAATATTGTACCCATACTGTAAACTGCTTGAAATCTGAAGAAGCTCATTACAATTATGAACAATGGGTTTAAGTATTAGGAAACCTTATCATTTTTCGCATCAAAAACGAAGACACAGTAAGCCATTTGCTGCCACTATTTAAAGTTTATACATTTTGCTTTAACTCTAATTTGTTCAAGAAACTAGCATCCTCTACTAATCCAGAAAACCTTGGTTTAACTGCATGGAACCTACATAATCTAATATTTTACTGTCACTTTAAGGTATATAAACCTTCTGTTCATCATCATTTAGTTTGAAGTTTATAATTACAGTATTGTAACATGTACTGTCTAGCAACAAACAGAACTAAAGAACAACAATAAAGTAGGAGCAACCATCATTCTACATACTTCATATGGATTTAGAAATTTGCAATGCAAAAACACCTTAGGCTACAGAAAATGGCGAGTGACTGCTTGCAGCTCAGCGGTGTTAGGTTTCAAAATTCATCATTTGCCACTGACAAAGTGTTGAGCTATTTTTCTTTTTTTAAAAAAAAAGCTCGATTCACTATAAAGAGTTTTAACACTGATAAAACTTAAAACAGAATGTGCATTTTTTTTTGGGGGGGGAAGGAGGAAGGAAAGAGAAATATACAAAGTCACAATTTACACTCAAAGGGAAAGCATCTAAGATTGTACAGTACTTGCTTCTCATTGCAACCACCACTTATTTTCCACGCCTGACTCTCCACTGAGTTAGCACTTTCAGAATATAGACTATTCATTTCCAGAGCGATAGACAGGAAATTGGTGAGTATCATCAACCATCAAGAATTTTTACACAACGGAGTTAAAACTTAGTTATGACGAAGCATAAATGGACAAAGATTTTTTTCACGTGCATCTGGTCACAGAGATCGTTGGAAAAATAGATAGGACCTTATACTTTGCTGCTTGACTTTAAGGCTTTCGGAAAGCTCTAGATGTTCTGTGATGTACTATTTCCTTACATGGTAATAATAAAAATAATAATCCTTGCATTTCATACAGTGCCTTATCACACCTTCGCAACGTCTCAAAGCGCTTCACAGAATATA